CCCGGACATGCCCGGCTTTTGGGGATTTCCCCCCCGGACGGAGATTTGAGCCCCCAAAAGCGGGACATGTCCGGGAAAATCCAGACGTATGGTAACCCTACCAAAGGGGGGGAGGTGAGACGGGACAGCGAGGGAGGGGAGCTATGCCGCTGAGGGTGTGGCTCCCACATATTATGCCTAGACTATGGATTTGTCTTCACTGCAGACTTAACTCAGGCTCAGTTGCTGGGTTTTCCCTTAACATGCTCCATGCTGACACATCCACATGGGTCACTCTATCAGTGCTTCACGATGAGGTAGCCACCCACTCCTTGAGCTATAGTGCAGACCCCAAAGTAGCTGTTAATGTGTACTGCTCCCCCGAGGTAGCTGCAGTGAAGACATACAGCCTTGGGAAGTCGCAACAATTGAGACATGGTGGTTTCCGATCCCTTCCCATAAACCCATTAACCAGAGTGGTGGATTATCAATCTGCCTCTGCTCAGCTCCTCCTTCCACTCTGCTCAGCTTCCTGCTTGCAGTTTCTCCAGCTTCACCCTTCTCCAGTGCTTGCTACAGCAGAACAATGCCTCCTAACAACGCTGTATCTCAGCGTGCAGCTACACGAACATATGTGAATCTTGGTGCAGCTTTGGGCTGGACCTTGGGACATGTGCTCAGATAGCTGTATTCCTTGTCATCACCAGATACAGCAATAGAGCCGATGAGGGGCATGGCAGCACAGTCTGGGGTCATGCTATAGCGAGTTAGGCTATCACAATAGCCTAACTGACCCTGTGATCGTTATCCTCATGCTTAGCATGCGGTGAAGGCAGATGCTGTGCTCCGATGGTAGTAGGAGCTCCACAGGGCAACCCCCTTCTTCTATGAACTTTCCTTTGCCTGGGTTTCAGATTAACTGCTGCCAACCCCCTCCTGGAGCCTTTTCCCACCCAGGTATGACTCATCAGAAATATCCCACTACTTATTCCTGGCTGCTGCCACATGTCCCCAGGAAAGATGGGAACAGGAAGCATACAGCTGGTTTATGGCAGCAGGCTAGGGAGGGGAAATTGCTTGGTCTCTTTAGGGAAAGGAGGCTTGTAGGAGGGATTCTCTGCTGTGTTGGGCCTTGGTGTATACTTGAGCTCTAATGTGTTGCACAGTACAAAAGGTCTTGCTTATTCTACTGATTAAAACACTATGTTTGAGCTAGGTATTATCATCATCACTTGCCATTTCCAGTACTTTTGTTCTTGAATACGGAACAGATCATATTGCTGCTGTTACAGAGAGGGATGGATTTACCCCAAAAAAATCCTTTACATTTTTATTTTCTTCTCAGAAAGTTTTGAGCTGCCTCTGTGTATTCTTCATAACGCATATGCAAATATTCATTGGGAAGTGATACCACCACTTTGGACAGTCAAGATTTTCTATGTAAGAACTGAATATGTTTCCTATACTGCCAAGAATGTATATATACGAAGACATAAGATTGTAACTTTTGAGCAAGTCACTTTCTTTAACCATTTGAAATTTTCTGTTTCTGAAGTTCTCTATTAATATATTAGACACTTGTCTTATACTGTGTACTTCTTTGTATCAGCTGTATACTATCCTTTCTCTCATTAAAACCTGTTCTTCCTCATCCCATCTTCTGTGCTTCTTTTGTTACTAATGTCTCCAACCTGATCCTGGACTGGCCCAGAGTTTAAATGTCAGTTTTTCATACATATGAGCCCTATATGTAACAAGGATCATGTTTGCAATCTGTAATAGTGTCACAGTTAAGATACTGTACTAGGGCTGTATAATATTGCTTTAGTACAACTAATCCAATTATTACAAAAATGATTAAAGGTCTAAAAAAACATGACCTATGATGGAAGATTGAAAAAACTGAGTTTGTTTAGTCTGGAAAAGAGAAGACTGAGAGGGGAAATAACAGTTTTCAAGTATGTAAAAAGGTTGCTACAAGGAGGAGGGAGAAGAATTGTTTTTCTTAACCTCTGAGGACTGGACAAGAAGCAATGGGCTTAAATTGTAACAAGGGAGGTTTAGGTTGGACATTAGGAAAAACTTCCTAACTGTAAGGGTGGTTAAGCACTGGAATAAATTGTCTAGGGAGGTTGTGGAATCTCCATCATTGGGGATTTTTAAGAGCAGGTTGGACAAATGCCTGTCAGGAATGGTCTAGATAATTAGTCCTGCCACAAGTGCAGGGGACTGGACTAGAAGACCTCTCAAGGTCCCTTCCAGTTCTGTGATTCTATGATTCTATTTAAGTGTTGACAAAGTACTCACTGTGTACACATTGTACAAGATACAGAAGAAGATCCGTGTCTGGAGGAGCTACAGTCTAAGTAGATGGACGACATACAATAAAATGTACTGGGAGATGAAACCCAGAAGAAGGTTCTGTCTTAGAGCAATTTTGTCTTTAGTCTCAAGGGTCGGCGGCAGCATTTTTACTGATGTGCATTAGTATTTCTAGGCTTTATGGGAGAAGCAAGTTGTGGGGTGGGATTTGGAAAAGGAAAGGAGGACACCTTGTGGGATAAGAAGGGAGTTCCAGGCATAGGTGACTGCGGAAGAAGGCATGAGCATGAGAGAGAGACGCTAAGGGAGTGGTGAGGTGGAGGTAAGTGATCAAAAATGAAAGCAGAGATCGAGGTGGGGGAAGAGTTATGCTAACCCTTGAGAGGGAGGACAGAGAAGCTTGAACTCCATATGGAAGATGAGAGGAAGCCAATGAAAGCATTGGTCTGAGCAGCAGGCAAGAAAGAGATTCTCTGTGGTGTGAATCCACACTTTCATTAAACTTGGAAATGTTGGTTTTTTTTCTGGCTTTTGTCCGACTCAAAGGCGGAAAAGAAGTTCTTTTCTTCTTCCTCTCTCCCTACATCACAATCTGACTGTTAGAACACGCTACACACCTATTTTGTGAACCACACCACAATCTTCTGCCTCTGAACTCTGAAGCAGAGATTTCCACAGCAGTTGTCTCTGAGGGCTCTCTTCGTTAGGAATTTTTGCCAATTTTCCCTTTCCCTCCAGCTTGCTCTGCCTGGCAGGGAAAATGTCCTCAGGGGTAGCACACTGAGGTAGGCTAGGAATCCCTCAGCAATAGATTCCCTAGCAGTTGATAAAGGTACAACCATCCTCATCATCAAAGGTTTCCCGTTCCTGTGTTTGGCATCAAACTTAGAGGAGATTCTGCAGAAGACACATCCAGACAGGGAAGCTCTGCCATATGAGGCCAATCTTCCCTTGGGAGGAAGGAAGGAAAGGCTCAAGAACTTCTGCCAGTCCAAGAATTTCTTGGCCAGTACCACTTCTGACATATCGGTCTTGAGATGTTCAGATAAGACCTCCTCATAGACTTTAAACATCCTCCTCTTCTACTTCTTTTTTCTTATGTTTTCTCTGCCCCCAAGCCCATGTGAAAAGACCAGGGTCCCTGCACTTTTGTAGCAAATCTTCTTTGTCTCGGAGCAATAATCCCGGCCCCTTTGAGAGAGGTTCTGGTTTCCACACCAGATCCTTTGCAAAGATAAAAAGGTCTGGAGGTCCCATTCCATTTCTGTCCATCTTCAATCACTCTGTGTTTAAAATGTATTTCAGGATAGTGGCTTTAGCTCTGCTGATCCAAAAACTATCCCCTCTTCTCTCTTTCTCTCTCTCTTCCCCCGAATATTTCTTAGCCTAAATTTCAATGGGACTTTTAGCTTCATATTCCAATACCTCCCTGCCACCAAAGGTTCCAACATTTTGTGATTGTGAGCTTCCATCATTGGTTCCAGCCAGTGCTCTTCATCTTGACATCTGTTCCACTGGTGTTCATGATGTTGATGGTCATCCTGTCTCCTGTCTAAGATAAGAGGGCACCCAGATCTACCACAGCCTGAATGATCTACTGCTGAAGATGCAATCCCATGAGATAAGAGCTTGCCATGCTTCCTAAACCCATCCAGTTTCTGGAACCTTATGGATTCATAGTGAGTTATCAGAAAAGCTCCTTCATTCCAGTTTAGGTATGCTACATGTAGGGTGGATCTATTCAAATGAGCCTGGACCTCGTGGTATTAACCAAGAAGAAAATTCAAACGAATTGAAGCCTTCATCAAGTAGTTTTTCAGCACCCTCCAGGCATCAGCACACCAACCACTACGGCCTTCAGTTGATTGAATGATTCCCCTGGGGCGTGTTCCACCTCCACCACTTCCCAATTTTCTGATCAGGCACTGCAGCTACCAAACTCAGGATATGGGCCGATCTATAGTGGTGGCACCAACTCCGTCATCTTTCCAATGGCAAACCCTGGGCTAAAGATTCTGCACCATGACCACCACTAGCCTGGATGGATGGGGAGCTCAGACGAGATCTCACGTGGCACAGGGCAAATGGTCATCCTGGGAATGCCAGCTTGGCATTAGCCTCTTTGGAGTTGTGGGCAGTGAGGAATTGAAGTGTCGCCCTCCTCCCAAGGGTCCCAGCAGGAGTTGTAGCTATTCACATGGAAAACAGAACCATCATGGCTTCTCTGACCCAGCAAATGCTGGAGAGAGACACCAGAACACCTGGGTATATTCCTTAGAGTTATACACATTGGTGGTAAGACCAGCAGTCAGGCTGAGTAGCTCAGCCATCATGAGTTGGACGTGGTTAAACAAGCAAGTTTCCAACCAGATTGCACCAAGATGTTTATTTTCACAAGCAAACCTGTTTGCAACCCAATGACTAGTAATAATAGGAAGATAACAAAATTATGCGCTTGCCATTAGTATCTACAGGCTTGGAGAGTGGACACTATCATTCTCCTTGCTGGGTCTCTGGGGTTATTCCTTTGTCTTCAGATGCAAGGTGCCCAGAAACATGAGCCAGGATCACATTTCAGTAATTTTGGTCATCCCTTATTGACCCAAGCTTCCTCGGTTTTCCCAAACTGATACACAAGTCAGGGTGCAAGTTGTGGATACTGCCAATGTTTTGGGACCTCAACCCATCCAGATTTGCAGCATCGGAGACTTGTACCATGGAACCTTAAGGCTCATGTCTCCCCAAACATGGTTACTCTCAAAAGTTAGATGACTTCCTTTTCAAATTCAGAAAGCTTTCTCCCTGCTGAGCTTACAAGGGCATGAAGAAGTAGGCAAACATCCTGCTATTGTCCACAAAGGACACGTTAGACTTCCCAATAGATGATTTTCATAAGGGTCTGAGCTCTAGTTTCTTGGAAGTGAAAGTCTCAGCCCTGAGGGACATACATCCCATCCATTCCATGTCTAGCCTACTGCTTCATCCACTATCTCCTGCTTTCTGAAAGCAACATCACTTGAGAGATCCCTGATCTGATGAGGAGTGGAACTTCAGTCTAGTACTACAAGCTCTTGCTAAATCACCTTCTTGATCCACTGAGGGAAGTGTCCTAGTTTCTCATTCTAAAATTTGCCTTCTTTTTGGCCATCACATCAGCTCAGAAAATTTAGAGAACTTGGGGCCTTTTTCATCATCCAGCTTTACTTTTCTTTTTCAGATAAAATAGTTCTGAGGCAAGTCCCAATATTGGCTATGGCTACACTAGAGAGCTTACTGCAGTGCAGCTGCACCAATGCAGCCGTGCCACTGTAAGTTGTCTAGTGTAGCTGCTCTAAGCTACTGGGAGACTGCTCCCCAGTCAACTTAATTAGTCCACCCCCAACTAGCAGTGGGAGACGCTTTCCTGCTGACCATAGCACTGTCCACACCGGCGCTTAGGTCTGTATAACTTATGTTGCTCAGGGGAGTGGCTTATCCACACCCCTGAGTGACATAACTAGTAGTGTAGACATAGTCTTCGTTTCCAAGAGAAGTTTGGCCTTCCACTTAAACCTGTCAGTTCCTTGCCCTCTTTTGATCCTAAATCTTCCCACGCCCTAGAAAAACAATTAAACATTTTAGGCTTGGTCAAGGTGGTGGTGTTCTACTGTGTATTGGTGTTATATGGGGGATGTAGGAAGGGGTGCAAAGCATCAAAACTTCTGTATCTGGGTACATTAAGTCAACTGTCTTATTGAGATCCTCCTGAAGACAAAGGATCCATAGGTACAGCTACTTTATGGACAGGGAAGCCCTGTATAAAGTGGTTTACTGAGCAGTTACAAAACTGACATGCTTCTTTTATGCCTCCTTCAGTCATCCTTTGGTGCTCCCTCTTTAAGACCCTTTTGTTTTTGTTTTTGTTTTTTTAAAGAAATGTGTCCACAGTCAGCTTGATATTATGTTACCATGGTGGACTTTTTCCCTCTCTGGATTGTTGGACGTTCTTTACTGTTTGTTGCTTCCCAACAGCTTCCCAAGAGCAGTAGAGTCCCATGACAGAGAAGGATAAAATTTGTTTCTTTACATATGATTTTGCCGCCTTTGAATTGGAATCATACACCAGGTTTATTATGTTTGGCAACTTGTGAATGTTTTGCCATGTGGAGATAGTAAACAGTCCTATTCAGATTTTCTGGTCGGGGAGAGAGGCTGTGGCAAATCTGGTTTTATTTCACACTTTGTGATGAGAGGGGAAGCACATTCAGCCTGATTTTTTTCAAGAGCTAATCTTTGTAGTTTCTAGCTTCTTTTCATTCTTCTTAGCTTTGGCAACCTAACCTGGGAAGCAACATCAATGCCATTTACCAGGCATGCTAGTAGAGGGTGCTAACAGGCAGACTGACTTAGCAGGGAGAGAAGGAACCTTTAGCCTCCCTGTAAGACAAAATTACAGGTAAGAGAAATAAATTTTTAATTTTTAGCCACAGCGTTCTGAATGGACTGGAATGGGGAGCAAGGTGAAGGGCCAGAAAGGAAACGGATGCAGTAGCTAAGGCAGAAGATGTACAAAGCGTAGAGGGGCATTTTAGTGATGGAAACAGAAGTGAGGAAGTACTAGATTCTTGATATGGTAGAGAGAGAACCAGTTTGGATTGGGCACTTTCTGGAAGTTCAGGGAGACAGGAACTGAAAAAAATTTATGGAGGTCATGAGCCTGGGTCATGGTGATGATGCAACAGCAATGGAAGGGGGTGAAAGAGGAGACCTATTGGGGAGGGGCATTTACTAAGGTAGAGAAGAGAGCTCAGACACTCCATGTAACTGTTGGGTTACCTACAAAGAGGCAAACTGTTGGCTCTGGTAGCTGTATTAATTACATAAATACACACACACAGCCGTCCGGCTGCTCTAAGCCTAGTGACGCACACAGAGCTTCCTTTTCCACAGCTTTATCATCATTTCAGAGATAACGCTGATTTGTGTGGCAAAGATGCTGATTAGTTAGGTTCAAATAAAGAAAACAGCATTAGCACGAGCAGGCAGTTCTGGAAAAGGCACCCCTTCTGTACTCTCACCAGTACCATTCCATCCCCTGCACTTTTCTCCAGCTCTTTGGGTAAGATTGCTTATTAATTTAACATTCGATACATTCTCTCTTTGGGAAATGGAGGTATTGGGGAAGGGCACTTATCTATTTTGGGCATGGAATTGTGATCTCATAGGTCATTTCTATCTCTAACTATTTCTGTCCCTTCTCGTCCATGCTAATTAGTTATGTACACTAGGTCCATTTTGGGTGTGCACCCCACGTTTCAGATATTAATCCAAAGGGTATCTGAAATATCTTGACCTCTTGGATCTGTGTATTAAAACCCAGGCTGAAAAGCTTAAAAGAACAATTCCTTGCAATGTTTCTAGTAGCTTCTGCTTCCATTTGGGATGGAAACACTAAAACAGCAGCCTCTGACCTGATATTTTGCTTCCATTCCTGCCCTTAGAAACAACTGACCCATGCAAAAACTGGAGGCAGAGGGGAGAGGTTGTGAGGAGAAAAGCAGAGTTCCAAAAAGTTTAGCTTGAGTTTGGGTGGAGAATGTCTGCAATCTGCCTGGATCAATTTGCTCATTCCTAATACTAATCCCCACTGGTGTGTCAGATTGTTCGTCTGATCTTCCCTACTGTAGAAATTGAGTGTGGACATCATCCTCTCCACTTCACACCACGGAGGGGATGAACATAGTCAAAATCCCACTTCTGTGGGTCCAAAGGTATTGGGAGGGAGACGAAAGAGAGATAACATGGCATATGCACTCTTTTCCTGCACCGTTGGGAATCCACAGGTTATGGAGGTGGGGTGGCTAAGAGGGGAACAGCTGGGCATCATCCCTTGGCAAACCCACAAAGTGTCCTGTGCAACTCTCCCCTCCCACAGGTTCTTCCAGGAGTTGGATTGATTCCGATCATGGACATCAAGCCCCTAGTAAGCTGTCTCTGTGTTAGCATTTTTCTAAAAATGCCCCACCCTTGCACTACTGTAAGTGGCAGCAACACTGGGAGCTCAAATATAGATCAGCCACTGCTACTCTGACAAATATGTCAACTGATCATGCTCAGAGCTGGTCTAGATAACCTCACATCAGCAGCCTGTCCATGCTAGCACTACTTTTCCCAGAGTGAGATTTTCAAAAGTACTCAGCCTTGCAAAAGCACAATCAGTAATGGAGCACTTCATCAAGAACATCTTTTACAATTCAAATACCATTATAAGTAGAGAGACAAAGCTGAGGATACACAATGCTTTGGTAGTGAATGGGGAGGGAGGGATAGGTCAGTGGTTTGAGCTTTGGCCTGCTAAACCCAGGGTTCAATCCTTGAGGGGGCCACTTAGGGATCTGGGGCAAAATCAGTACTTGGTCCTGCTAGTGAAGGCAGGGGGCTGGACTCGATGACCTTTCAAGGTCCCTTCCAGTTCTAGGAGATGGGATATCTCCATTTACACTAGCACTTTTGTCGCTATAACGTATGTCGCTCAGGGGTGTGAAAAAAACACTGACAGAAGTGCCGGTGTGGACAGCGCTGTGTCAGCAGGAGAGCATCTTCCGCTGACACAGCTACTGCCGCTCATTGGGGGTGATTTAATTATGTCAATCGGAGATCTCTCTCCCGCCGGCATAGAGCAGCTACACAAGAGATCTTACAGCAGCACAGCTCTGTAAGCTCTCTAGTGTAGGCATGGGCCAGCCTAAATCAGTGTTTGCCTAACTCTGCTCCTACTGAAGTCAGTGGGAGTTCACCATTGACTTCAATGGGAGCGGAGTCAGGCCCTGAGTGCTATCTGCCATATCTTATCCCTAACCTCTCTCTTCCTCCAATATGTGTTCTGGCTATTCACATATGAAGTGACAAGTTTACGTCAGTGAAAATATGACCCTAACCAGGCTGGTGGCTATTTTCTACCATTTTGCAGTTCAATTCAATGAGATTTTATTGGCATGACAAGCTAAATGTGTATAAAAAAAGACAGATTCCTCTGGTATCTGTCAGAGGTAGCTAAAATCTTCCCAGCAAAGGGCTGTACGCTGTATCTGGGGCAATATCTCATGTCCTTTTGCCATTACTGCCGAATGGTTAATTCTAGGTTGCTGTTTTCAAGCTGTTAACAACACAAGAATGAACTAGACAATGACCACACAGTATAAGATATAGGGGTTAGCTGATGTTGGAGTCTAGTGGCATTTGTATTTGTACCTAGCACATTTGGGTTCTGATTGGACTGTAGCCTTTTGGGCACAATTGCTATAATAAGAATGAGAGATTTCCAAGGGGCTGCATATTAATGTATATTGCAAAAAAAAAAATGGTCATTGGTTTTGCTTCTGTTCCTACCTCGCTCTCTGCCTTTTTCAGAGGGAGCTTTGGTAGTTTCTGTAGAATCACTGGCAGTCTTTCTGAGTTTGCTTTAGCTCATCATAGTGCTCCCCAGGCTGTGCGCTCAGTGTGCTGCTGGGAAAAATTTAACCCTGGGCTGCTATTCTCTGATTTGTGCTTCTAAAACATATTTGTGATTACTAACTATAAATGACAAGAAAGTAAGTTGCCAAGAGACTTTCTGGATTTAAAGTAATTTGTCTTATATTTTGTCTTTTAATTTTCATGCGTAGTTCCAAAAAGGCAAACCTGGCATACCTTAAAAAGGCCAAGTACAGATCAGGTTGGCTACAAAGAGGAATGGCAGAACTGGCCTGAACCTGTACCTAGTTCCCAGGATCTTCTCGATACAAGGCAATAGCAGAATTTGCTAAAAATGATTCTGCAGCCTGCATGAGGTGGGAAGTAAACAATCCTATCTGTAGAACTACGACTACAGCCAATACGTAAATGTGTCATAAATAGCATCCCTTTGATACTGAAAATACTGCCTATGTTGTTTTGGATTGCAACAAATTACATTTAAAAAACTGGACAGAGGGAGCAAAGCTTTCAGAATGAGGTGATTAGATACAGAAAAAGCAAAATACCTGAATCTGAAATCGTTGGGTAGACAGTAGCCCATATGGTAGTCACTCCTGGTCTTTGCTATTTGTTTCTGAAGGTCTTTAGCTGACTTGCTATATCCATTGAAAATATAATTGGCAAAGAGCAGCTTTCCCTGAATGTACATCTGCCAAGGAACATAGAAAAAGTCCAGAATATTAAAATAGGAACAACCACCTATTATTTTAAATGAGGAAATTAGGTTGAGGAACTGACAGGAATTACTCTGAAATAGCCTAGCTATTTACATGAATTGCTGCTTTGAGCTTTGGCCTTTCATCGTTTTATTAAAAATGTCATACTTCTGAAGTGTCTTAGGGCCAGGATCTCAAAGCACCTCATTCCTCTGCATATAGGACAATATTCTGCATGGCGCTTCATGAACTAACAAACAACACAGCTACCTGCCCTGAGGACATTACAATCTAGATTAGGTAAGGCATGATATGGCATAAGGAAAGTAGTGTGAATGGGAGAGAAACTGGCAGAATATACTGTAATGAGGGTACCTTAGTTTTGCATTGTACCCATTGTGTTAGTTCGGTGTTTTATTAAATGTTTTTAGATAGGACAGGAATGAGGAATTGTGCTACCTCTTCCCCAACCCTTTACAAACATTAATGAAACCTCACACTACACTCATCAGATAAGTATTATACCCCATTTTAAAGATGGGTAAACGGGGATTCAGAGAGGTAAGTGACTTGACCAAGGTCACACAATAAGCGCTTTAGACTTGCAGATTTTAGACTGCACTGTTTCTGTTTGACAGACACACTTCAGATCTAAAGCCAGATCCAGGCATAAACTAAGTCTTTTGTAAGCATCTCTCCTTGACAACTAATACAGGAGAATAAAGGTAATTAGAGCTGTTCAAAAAGAAAAAATATAGTATTATTTTGCAAAAATATTCAAAATGTTGTACTTGTTTTCCGTTATGAAATATTCTGAGATGAAGCATTTTTAATATTTTTGCAACTTTTTAATATTTTATTGAAAACATTATCAAAAGTGTTATCAAAATGATTATCGACAATTTGCATTTACCAAAAGCTGTGTTTTTCAGCATTTATTGAAAATCCTGGTTTTTGGTAAATGAAAAATACTGATAACATTTTCATTAATGTTTTCAATTAAAAAAGAGGCACCAATTTTCTTTAAACAGTGAAATTACATATATATAAAATATAATATAATGTATAATGTATATTTGCAAGTTTTATATATAGATAAAAAAATTCACACAAATATTTGTTTGCAAATATGTAGATCACAATTTGCAAACAAATATTTTTTGTAAAAAGGCTATTTTTCTTTGAAAAAACTTGGTTAGAAATGTTTTGATTGGCTCTGATATAATAATTCTTTGCCTTTAACATCTTTCATCCAAGTATCTCAAAGTGCTTTACATAGGAAGGGAAGTATTATCCCAGTTTTGCCGATGGGAAATTATGGCACAGAGCAATTAACTGACTTGCTCAAAGTATGAGAGCAAATCAGGGCTAAAGAGGAGAATAACTGCCTCAGTTTCTCAGTACTGAGAGTCCTACAGGTTGGCAAGCACTAAATGTTGGTAAGATCTTAATGATGGTGCTTAGTATTTCAGTCCACGTGTGAGACACTGCTTTGAAAATCAAATTTGCATCACCAAAACCATGTTGTGTGGCACCATCTGTACTAGATCCTGGTTGACAGAAGTCTTTTACTATTTGCTGCTAACTGTCTATTCCTTACCTTCCCCAGGTAACAAGAACTCCATGTATAACAGTTTGCATTATGAATAGGAGTTTGCCCCTGTTTCCCTGTGCACTATATGCGAGGGAAGCAGCAGGAATTGGTTTTAATATTTTAACAATAGTAAAAACAAAGTAAAGTGTAATTTTTAGGTGCTGTAGGATTGACAAGGATAGAGTTTTGTTTTTGTTTATTTTATTTGTGCTACAATCTGTTTGGAAAGTGGGGAAGGAGGGCAATACATGCAGGATATGTAACATTGTCCAGAATTGACAGCCTTTAATAGAAGAGTCTAATATGTGCTATAATGCCGAGGCTGGACTGGAGTAAACTAGATGTAGCAGCAGCTTCCCCTTGCAGTCAGATGTTCCTTTCTTTTTGGGTTTAGGTCTCAACTTTTATTTCTGGCTACATTTGTGTTCAGTTACAATATTTGTCTGTTGGTAAAAGTGACCTTATATACTGGGCATAACGAACCAAATGAAAAACTAGTATAACCTCATGAAATCAATGGAATCATAATAGTGCTGAATGCAGCCCAACCTCTGCAAGACTGGATCCGCATGCTGTGGACAAGGCATTCCTCTCAGAATTTCTACATATTTCCCCCCTAAATCAATAACAATGTGTTATTAACAAAATGCTGCTAGAGCCAAACTCATGACCCCCTGCATTTAATCTGCACTCCCAACATGGAAGTTGACATTGAAAAGGGATGGGAGGGGCTTACCATGGCTCGAGTCACCCATAAAAATGAAGATTTTTTTTTTTGTAATGAGTAACAGCCTGATTCTGCTATGTGCTGAGCACCCACAACACCTCTAGAAGTCAATGAAAACTGACTAATTGGCACTTCCCAGGGGGAACTCAGCACCTCACAGGACAATACCTTACATTTTTTTTACGCGAGTATCACAAAGCTGAATACCATCACAGCAGATACAAGAAAAGACAAATACTTTTTACCCAATTGCCGAAGCTGCTCTTCATTGAGCCAGCCTGTGGATGGTTTATAAATGGAGCTCTAAGAAAAACCTACTGAGATATCAGCTACAAAATGAATAAGGATGGAGCTGTTCTTTTTATTTTTTTCTCTTTGTCTTAATGATAGCTGAATAGCACACTGGGTCGGAGTCTCTCCGGAAGGCCCTTCACACACACTCTGGGGCCTAGCGTAAATGAGAATTAGGCCCACAGAGTTAAAAATACTGAAATAATACAAATCGCTAAGTTTGGGGCATATCCCAAACTGCTCATGTTGTGGGAAGTCCCAAGTGGTTCACAATTGGAAACATCTGGCTCACTTCACGGAAGCGTCTCAGCAGGCAACACGCTCCTAGTCAAGATGTTTTGAATTTTTAGTGTAACGCATATTAAAGCAACAATGGGTGTATTCACTGGAAGAAGATCCCTGGGGTTACTGGATTTTCTTCATTTTGTGCTCAAACCAAGGTTTGTTTATTTGAAATGTAACCAGTGAAGAACATAACATGGGACACCACTTTTAATGGAGAAATGGGAGAAACCCTTGGTAATCTCAGGCATTTTTAATTTCATAGGTGAAAGCAGACAGAGTGATATTGTTTCATGCATTTGTGACCCATTTTTCTTTCAGTCAAAAATCGTGTGGTGTCGATGCCACGAAGGACTCTTTAGCAAAAAGCGCTGAAGCCATTGTTGAGAGGGTCACTCTTCACACACAGGCATTTGGAAGCCTAAGCAGAGAATTACTCTGGTAGTTGGGCACCATTGCAGTGTCTTGCCTGGCACTGCTTCTTCTCTATGCTTCTGGAATTGTATGGGTCAAGCAGCATAAGTTTTTTGTAACCAAAGGAACTCCCCTTCCATCTGGTGATCCAGATCTGGTTCCATCTTTAACTGTCTTTGGCAATGATGTGTGTGAGAGAGGGAGTGGCAACAATGCTCCACCTCAAGCACTGATTGCAGCTAAATGCAAACTGCTGGGACCATGTTTCCCTTGCAGAAACCTGAGGCAAACTCTTCATGCACATTTTGCCTCAGGTATCCTGAAGAGGAACATGACTCTCTCCTAGTTTTCCTGCCAAAACCGAGCCAAAGTTTTGTGAGTTTCTTTGTGATCACGGAATTCACTGAAAAGGTACACAAAGTCCAGGCCAGTGTGTTCCAATAGAAGCCCAACGTTGTAAGGAGTAGCAGCACGACATACATGTTTCTCTCTTGGCAGTCCAAAGTGCTCTTGTAATAATTTGCATATCGTAACTGAAACTAATACAAATCTTTAGAGCTTTGGCTGGAGCGCTGAGGATACAGGGGACACATGAGCCTTGGTGTTGCCCATCTTCTCATTCCCCCTGGTTAGCACTTACCTGTCTCTTCTCCACTAGACTGCAATCAGCCCCTCCCCTTCCAATGAACTCCCTCTCACTGGTCATGCAAGAAGATGACTAAATTACCTAAAATATACTAACCTAAAACATGGTTTTTGTATTGCTTTCCCCATCTTCACTCCTTGCTCTGCTGATTCGTGCGTTGTTTTGTTTGCTTTTTCTTTTTCCTCCTGTCTGTTGCTTCCCTTACGCTCTCCTCCTCTCTCTCTCTCTCTCTCTCTTCCCCTCTCCCCATTCTTCCATGGGGTCCCCATATTTCAGTTTTTTCCCTTACACGTTCTCTGCATCCCGGCTTTTTTTTCTTTTCACAGCCCTGTCTTTCTGCCACCAACCTCTCCATCTCCCCTTCCTATGTCTGTCTGTCTCTCTCCTACTCCTTCCCCTGCGTCTCATGTCTTTCTGCCAGCCTATCTACCTAGGCTTTTGCTAACTGAGCACTATCCTTTCTCATGCCTCTCCAATTCCTCATTCCATTTACAGTTGTTGTTGTTTTTGTTTTTTGTTTGCTCTTTCTGTTCCTATCCCAACATGCACCAGCAGATGTCAGCCACCCTGGACCCAGATTACATGTCCTACTCTCTATGCAGGGAATGTATGCGTGGCTTCGACCTGCTGCTTCTTCCTGCTCTTGGGATCCACAGTGCAAACTCTGCAGTTGATCTCTTCCTGCTACTGCAAACTCTGAGGTAATGAGGAATCCAATGCAGGCGCCTACCGCTGCCAAGTCCACTAACTATGTGTGGGAGCAATCCTCCCCTGACATTGGCTGGAATTAGTCATGAAAGCAGCTACTCCCCAAGGACCTATTAGCACTGTCCTACTGCCAAAAACTAGAGTAGGATACACCAGTTATGTTGGCTCATTTAGAACACGGATTCTGTCTAGGGGTGGTAAAATATAAGAACCATGGAAAGTAGCTACAGAAGCAGCCTGCTAGGTTATTTTGTCCATCCCCCTTGCCACTGCAGGATTGAGCCCTACAGTACGTTCTGGAAGACTGAAAAGAACAATGTGATGCTCTGGTACAGGTGTGTATTTACCAGAATCGTACCAAATTAGGATTTTGATAGAAGGGTGGGTAGGTAAATCTCCCATCTTCAAGATGAATTCAGAGCAATTAATGCAGAATGCAGTGAAACTCTCCTAAGAGCATATGAATTGCCATACCACTCCAGATCAGACAAATCTTTCAGTGCTGCCTCTGGCAGTGACCATAACTGATGCTTCAGAGGCATGCAACTCTTTCCCCCTATAATACACCTGGCCAGTTGTGAAATGCTATGACTTGGGGGAATTTCATCCCTCACACAAAAGCAATCAATTTATGCCTTCAAGCATCAAGTTTGTCTAGACTTGTAATGTCTCGATCCATAAGCACAAATGTTATTGGTCAAAATGATCCAGCCCTTTTCAAAATCTTGTGACTCTTGTTGCCTCGTGGCCTTCTGTTGTATGTGATTTTTCACAGGCTGGCTATATGTGGAGTAAATAAGGATTTCCAAGTTTTGTCTTAAATGTGCTGTCTTTCAAATTTGTGTCCCTTTACGTTCTCGAAGTAGAAAAAACAAAGGAGTGCCTATCCCCTTGAGCTGAAGCAGCCAGAACACTGGGACTCTGTAGAAGCAATTACTGCTCAACAATGAATTGTAGATTCTCAACATGTGTAAATGGATGTAGCTATGCTGATTTATACCAGCTAAGAATCTAACCCCAAATCTTCCCTGGAAAATAAAGTGTTCACCAAAGAAACCACAGTGGAGGGAGAACAACTTGCTGAATTAGAGCTCCTGGTGGAAGCAATGAGAAGTTTTTGAATGGTGCCCCCCCCCTTTTTTTTCAGGGTTCCAGATATCGTTCTGGCAAATGAATTGCCTGAAAGGAGAAAAAATGGCCTCAAACTGAAATTCCTAACAAACAAGCCGGGGCAAACAGGATTGTTTTTTGTTTTGTTTCCTCCTTTTCTGTCCCTAATTTTGCCAAATTAAAAAGGTCAAAGGTGAGGTTGAACATTTAAAAAAAAAAGGCAGTACTATGTGTCAAAAACATAGAAACAAGCTGAAATATGAAGTGGTCTATTTGTGACTGTGAGTTTGTTTTGTAAGCATTGTATGTCTCCATATCAATTCCTCTTCGTCTTTTGGATCTCTTTTTTCCAACAGAGCCGTTAAGCAACAAAAATAGTGGTGTACTTCCTTTATGTATTTTCTGCATCTCTCAAGCTGATGAAAGGAATAAAAGTGTTTTTTATGCTCATCACAAGTTCTGTCTGCCCCACTTGTTTTTTGTAAGTGATGCAGTTGGTCCCCTGACTTTTTTCTGTCTACCATTTCAGATAATTAGCAAGCTCGCAAAGTTCACTACTCAAAACACATTCACAAACACTGGCTGCTTCCCGTGAAGGAAGTGGCTCAGCAAAACTCTGTGTTGGTATGGGTGTGTGTATGTACATGCACTGAAAATAAAGATTTTTCGCACACAAAAATCTCTTAAATTTCCTCCACAGTTCAAAGTTAATGGAAGCTTCAGCATCTGATGGGATTTTGTAGTACAGCCCCTTTCCTGGGCACACTATCAACAAGAAGCGGTGGTACATCTGTTAGTCCACTAAGGATCAATGGTGTCTAGAAAGCTAAGGAATGGACCCAAGGACTTTCTGAGTGCCCTGGCCTCACTACATGGTTTTCCCACTTGGAGGTCAGTTTAATTGGGCATTTGCTTCTTTCTTAGTTGGGTTATTTTTTTCACTTTGGCTGTTAAGTTCCTGGCATGTTATAGATGCTCTGCGGTGATGGTGAAACTCAAGTTTTGTAAAAAGCAACAGAGGGTCCTGTGGCACCTTTGAGACTAACAGAAGTATTGGGAGCATAAGCTTTCGTGGGTAAGAACCTCACTTCTTCAGATGCAAGTAATGGAAATCTCCAGAGGCAGGTATAAATCAGTATGGAGATAACGAGGTTAGTTCAATCAGGGAGGGTGAGGTGCTCTGCTAGCACAGACTGTGAATGGCTATCCAACTACAGAAGCAGTTTCTCCTCCCTTGGTGTTCACACCTCAACTGCTAGCCGAGCACCTCACCCTCCCTGATTGAACTAACCTC